CCTTTTAAGCATAATCTCTCTCTCTCTCTCTCTATATATATATATATATATATATCAATGCATTTTTATATTTGTCATTTCTGCATCATTATTCTCTGCCATATTTGTCAGGATCTCCACTCTGGAAAAGAGCTTGTCGCTTTCTTGGTTCTTGTCGGTGTACTGGTAAAATATTGTTCTCAAAACTATTTATGCAACTAAATTGTCTCTTTCTTTCTTGTAAAAGCAAAGCTAGTTGCTAAAGAAAGTGGGAGAAATGCTCTTCAAGGATGGATAAATTTAACTAAATTGTCCCCATTGATAATAATTAAACTTTTAATTGTCATCATCACTGGATAAATTTTAACTACTATTTGTTTTCTGCAATACTAGGTATTCTTGGGTAGTTTTGAACTCGCCATGGGAGGGATACCGTGGGTTATAATGTCAGAGGTGAGGTTCCATTGTTTTCTTTTCTCATTATATTTCTTCCTCTTTTACTTTGTAAGTTCACTTTACTCAGTCTTTCTGACTCTGGTGTAAACTCATAAAAGAATGCATATCCTAAACATGCTAATTCCATGGCTTTTTATGTTAGATATTTTCAATTAACATAAAGGTTTCAGCTGGAAGCCTTGTTACCTTAGTGAGCTGGTTTGGTTCTTTGGCAATTGCCTACACCTTTACCTTTCTATTTGAGTGGAGCTCAGTAGGTATTTGCTTCCTCATTTTCTTTTTAACCCTTTCTCTACATAAAGACCGTGTTAATAATGGTTTCTTATGATGATCCTTCTTGGCTATATATCCTATCCTGTTTGATCAGGGACATTTTTCGTATTTGCTGGCATCTGTGCGGCTGGAACTTTGTTCATTGCAAAGCTTGTACCAGAGACTAAAGGACGCACGCTAGAAGAAATACAAAAATCCGTCACTAGCCGGCAGTAGTCTGTAATAGAGAATTCTGAGAACTCATTACTGTTAAATGAAATAAAATGTTGTATCTACCCTGCTGTATTTCTATTGAAATTTTTATATAATTATATAAGTTGATTGGTGTCGGCTATGGCTGAACTGTTCTTGAAATCGTAAAAATTAATATGAGAAACACTTAAGATACAATGAGAGTTATGGTCAATAACAACTTAAAAATGAGAGAAAGAGGTAGAGCGAGAGAGAGGGGATCAGGAATGGGACACCGCTCATGGGTAGAGAGTATGTACATCTCCGAGGAATAAGCCAACAGAGAAGATCAGTGGGGGCAGGTAGGAGGGATCAGACAATTCACAAGAACACAAACAGGACAAAGGGTTTTGACTGGGGAATGTATAAACAAGCCACAGCATTTTTTTTTAATGGGTTTTTTCACATGTAAAATGTATAATATATGTAATTTTTTAATTAATTTATATAAAAATATAAAGATTGACTTTAAATTAATTAATTGATCAATTAAAATCATATATGTAAATATCAATTTTTATAA